CATCAAGGCATCCTTGACTAGAATTAAGTCATCCTTGACTAGCATCAAGGCATCATTGACTAACATCAAGGCATCATTGACTAGCATCAAGGTATCCTTGACTAGCATCAAGGCATCCTTGACTAGCATCAAGGCATCATTGACTAACATCAAGGCATCATTGACTAACATGAAGGCATCATTGACTAGCATCAAGGTATCATTGACTAGCATCAAGGCATCATTGACTAACATCAAGGCATCATTGACTAGCATCAAGGTATCATTGACTAACATCAAGGCATCATTGACTACCATCAAGGCATCATTGACTAGCATCAAGGAATCATTGACTAACGTCAAGGGACCATTAACTAGCATCAAGGCATCATTGACTAGCATCAAGGCATCCTTGACTAGCATCAAGACATCATTGACTAGCATCAAGGCATCCTTGATTAGCATCAAGGCATCCTTGACTAGCATCTAGGCATCATAGACTTGCATCAAGGCATCATTGACTAGCATCAAGGCATCCTTGACTAGCATCAAGGCATCATTGACTAGCATCAAGGCTTCCTTGATTAGCATCAAGGCATCCTTGACTAGCATCAAGGCATCATTGACTGGCATTACTTCATCCTTGACTAGCATCAAGGCATCCTTGACTAGCATCAATGCATCCTTGACTAACATCAAGGCATCATTGACTAGTATCAAGGCATCCTTGACTAGCATCAAGGCATCATTGACTGGCATCACTTCATCCTTGACTAGCATCAAGGCATCCTTGACTAGCATCAATGCATCCTTGACTAACATCAAGGCATCATTGACTAGCATCAATGCATCCTTGACTAACATCAAGGCATCATTGACAAGCATCAAGGCATCAATGACTAGCATCAAGGCATCCTTGACAAGCATCAAGGCATCCTTGACTAGCATCAATGCATCCTTGACTAACATCAAGGCATCATTGACAAGCATCAAGGCATCATTGACTAGCATCAAGGCATCCTTGACAAGCATCAAGGCATCCTTGACTAGCATCAAGGCATCCTTGGCTAGCATCAATGCATCCTTGACTAACATCAAGGCATCATTGACTAGCATCAAGGCATCATTGACTAGCATCAATGCATCTTTGACTAACATCAAGGCATCATTGACAAACATCAAGGCATCATTGACTAACATCAAGGCATCATTGACTAGCATCAAGGCATCATTGACTAGCATCAATGCATCCTTGACTAACATCAAGGCATCATTGACAAACATCAAGGCATCATTGACTAGCATCAAGGCATCATTGACTAGCATCAAGGCATCCTTGACTAACATCAAGGCATCCTTGACAAGCATCAAGGCATCCTTGACTAGCATCAAGGCACCTCTCTACACAGGAATCTCACCTGCCGGTCTGTGAGATGTCAGTTCCTTGGTCGTAGAAGATTTCAGTAACTACTTGTTACTGAAACCAAACTAAAACACCAGCAATTTACAAAACTGTCAGTGCTGGCAGGAACCTCGTAGTCAGGACAATAAAAATGTTTAGTGAGCGTAGCAGTGTGCAACCTGTCAGCTTAGAGAAAATAGAAGCTTTTAACAGATCAGAAGCAGATGCAAGAATCCTCAGTCAGTTTCAGTGCTTCAAGGAATTTTTGCCTTGTCAGCATCCCTGCAGGAGATAATTAAGATACATACAGTTAGGTATCTTTATTTCTTGATGTTTCGCTTACACAGAAGACTTTTTCAGTCCATGGAAAATTAGACACATATGTAACATCTGGGTAATTCTAATTCTTCAGTCGAGTACAGAAGATGCCTGCTGTGTAGGCGAAACGTTTCGGAATAAAGATACCTAACTGTTGCACGTGTCTTGTCAGCTTGTGGGTATTATATACCATTATCACATGTCCCTGCAGGAGCTTCCCTGAGACAAGATATGGTAAAAAATGGAAGGGAAATTCCTACTATTGTTAAATACGACACATGGGTCGTGTTAGGCTATGTTATTGACACAAATGTTAACCATCAAGAGAATTACCACAGTGTTGCAGCTAAGTTACTGGAAGATAGTTTTCTACATCCCCAAGACTCTGGAAAGACTCTGGAAAGACTCTGGAAAGTAGGTTAATTTAGCCTCCAAGTCTCTGGAAAGACCAATAAATAATTTGATTTCTTCGTTCATATTTTATTGAGTTGTTCATGTTTACTGAGTTGTGAAAGACTAATAAAGAGTTCAGGACATTTATTACAGGAAACATTTCACCACAAGTGGTTTCTTCAGCGTCTGTTTTCCACATTTTGTCGGGATCACTATACCATTTTTCAGTTTACAGAGTTACCAGCCATCGATAATGTTCTCTTTGCTTGTTGCTTGAAGGTACTGTAAGGTGGCCCACATCATCCTAGGTTAGTGTAAGGTGGCCCACATCATCCTAGGTTAGTGTAAGGTGGCCCACATCATCCTAGGTTAGTGTACGGTGGCCCACATCATCCTAGGTTACTGTATGGTGATCCACATCATCCTAGGTTACTGTATGGTGATCCACATCATCCTAGGTTACTGTATGGTGATCCACATCATCCTAGGTTACTGTATGGTGACCCACATCATCCTAGGTTACCGTAAGATGGCCCACATCATCCCCAGGTTACTGTTAGGTGACCCACATCATCCCCAGGTTACTGAGGTCGTTGAACTTGATTCCTTTGGCTATACTCCAGTGTCATCACGACTATGAAGCAACTGAAGTGAGCTCTCCGTCTCCTGCATAATTTCTAACCGAATCGAGGCCTATAGCGAAGGTACAACGAAGAGAAATAACGAGATGCTGCCAAGGATGAGCCACTGAACTCAGCAGGTTTAATCTTCACTCACTTACAGTCATAGCATTGGTGACCGCCCAGGAAGAGATGCTCTTGGCGCGAACCCATGTAGCTCACGAAGATCCGTATATAAGGGCAGCTTGTATGCAAGACTCTTTAGTCGACTCCAGACTCAGCACGCGCACCAGGTGAGGTTTTTCTTTTCTGTTCCATACTTCGTCAGTTCACCTGTCACTGAGAACTTGCGTTTTTCATATGTTCATTTTGTGTTATGTAAGTTAATAACCTTTTCAGACTTACTATTATTGTTATAATGTTATTGTTCACAACAATTTTCACTTGGGAGAGGAATTTTATGACGACGTTTCGGTTCGTCCTGGATCATTATCAAGTCAGCAGTGGCTTTGCAATAGGCCCAGTGTTTGTGACTTTCATTCTTTATTTTCTTCGTGGATGGTAGTTTTATTCCGAACACACACATAAACAAGGGTATACTTGTTTAAAATAAATATTTGTTGTTGATTAATATTTATGAGTCCAACTGATTTGTAAATGCATATATTTCAGTTCTTCTGAACTACCATCATGTGTGACGACGAGGAATCTTGCCCTATAGTGTGCGACAATGGCTCCGGCATGGTCAAGGCCGGCTTCGCTGGTGACGACGCTCCCCGCGCCGTCTTTCCTTCCATCGTCGGCCGTGCTCGTCACCAGGGTGTGATGGTCGGTATGGGTCAGAAGGACGCCTATGTCGGTGATGAGGCCCAGAGCAAGAGAGGTATCCTGACTCTCAAATATCCTGTAGAACACGGTATCATCACCAACTGGGACGACATGGAGAAGATCTGGCATCACACTTTCTACAACGAACTACGTGTTGCTCCTGAGGAGTCTCCTACGTTGCTGACTGAGGCTCCCCTCAACCCCAAAGCCAACCGCGAGAAGATGACACAGATTATGTTTGAGACTTTTGGTATGCCTGCCATGTACGTGGCCATCCAGGCTGTCATGTCTCTGTACGCGTCAGGTCGTACCACTGGCATGGTCAGCGACTCTGGTGACGGAGTCAGCCACAACGTTCCAGTTTTTGAAGGTTACGCCTTGCCACACGCCATGCTCAGACTTGACCTGGCCGGTCGTGACCTGACCATGTACCTAATGAAAATCATGACTGAGCGTGGCTACTCCTTCACCACTAGTGCAGAACGTGAGATTGTCCGTGACATCAAGGAGAAACTCTGCTACATCGCCCTTGATTTTGACAATGAAATGAACGTTGCTGCTGCTTCCTCCTCCCTGGACAAGTCCTACGAGCTTCCTGACGGTCAAATCATCACCATCGGCAACGAGCGTTTCCGAGCACCTGAAGCTCTGTTCCAGCCATCCCTCTTGGGCATGGAATGTGCAGGCATTCACGAGACTGTTTACCAAGGCATCATGAGATGCGACATTGACATCAGAAAAGACTTATTCTGCAACATTGTCATGTCTGGTGGTACCACCATGTACCCTGGTATTTCCGACCGCATGCAAAAGGAACTAACAAACTTGGCTCCCTCCACCATCAAGATCAAGATCATTGCTCCTCCCGAGCGTAAGTACTCCGTCTGGATCGGTGGTTCCATCCTGGCCTCCCTGTCCACCTTCCAGTCCATGTGGGTCTCAAAAGAAGAATATGATGAGTCCGGCCCCGGCATCGTCCACCGCAAGTGCTTCTAAATACATATAATTTGACATTTTTGTACATTATATTATTTTTGTAAAAAATAAATAAAAATTGCTTCTAATTTATAATTTAATTTGAACTTTCGTTATAAATTTAATATTGTTTTAGTCTATTATTATTATTATTGGTCATTTAGAGCTGAATTTACGAGAATATATTTAAAAGGGTTTCTATGATAATTTCAAGCGATGGTACACTCGTACAAATAAATTAAATTACATAACAAAGCACTAAGGGCTGTCTTCTGGCAATACTATAGTGAGTAAGTCCCTAAAACGTCATGTATAACCTTTGTGTAAGATTATTTAGGGTCAGGTACACACACAAGTACAATTACCACATCTGGTAACGTGTGTAAATTACCTCGAACTCAATTATTGGAATAAAATGGTTGATTTCGTTGTATGCAGATAAGAGTTATGGTGAGAGTAAGACACATGTGCAACATCTGGGTATCTTTATTGTAGACGTTTCGCCATCCAGTGGCTTTATCAATACAAATTCTAGGACATAACTGTCTTCAAGTTATGTCCTAGAATTTGTATTGATAAAGCCACTGGATGGCGAAACGTCTACAATAAAGATACCCAGATGTTGCACATGTGTCTTACTCTCATCTTGTCGGTATTATATACCATTCGTACACAAGAGTTATGGTACTTTACTGTGAAGACATTTCTCTCACTGGTGACTTTATCAGTTCAAGGAGCGACAATAGTCTGTAGAACTTACGATCAAGAAACACTAGTGGTGAACTGGAAGTTCCTTTAGGATGCAGATCTTAACAATTGTGTCTTATTTACATCGTATCTCATTTACAATTTACATGCTATCGCCTTTACAACTGTCTTATGGTAAATCAGCTCCATGTCCGCGAATATGTTGCTCTTTTCTCAAGACTATAGCGACACCTATAATCTACTATTGTATGCATGTTACCGTCGATTATGTTGTATAAGAAACATCACAATTTTCTCTGATATTCATCAATTGCTGCATAATTGTCTACAACCTTGTATTTTGAATTTTCTGGAACGATTTACAAATACAACACTGCAATAGTATACCCGGAGTATACCTGAAGGGTGTTCCGGGGGTCGACGCCCCCGCAGCCCAGGCCTCGCGGTGGATCAACACCTGATAAGCCAGGCTGTTACAGAGAAATCAGACACATGTGCAACATCTGGGTATCGGTTCAGACGTTTCGCCAACCAGTGGCTTTACCAGTACAAGGACATAATGTGAAGAAATATGTACAAAACATAAGGCAATCAGTCCCTCAGCCTTGGATAAGGGACTGATGAAAGCACAAATATCAAATGCAAATTCTATTCCAATCACTGCATTTGCGTCGTCATCACCACAAAGTATAACATTTTACACTAGTCACTTTACGATGGCAGGTTTATTGTCAATTTCCTGGTCACTTTGACCCTCATAAGAACACAAGAAAGGAGGAACACTGCAGCAAACCTGTTGGCCCATAATAGGCAGGTTATCTCAAACCCAAACCCACTCATCATTTCCAGAAAGAAGAAAACCAAATCTTGTTAAGGGAATAATGTTTAGATGAGGAAAATGATTGTTAGGTTGTAACCAGTGTGTTGTTACTCACAAACTCTGGAAATTACGGCTTAATCTGTAGTGGCCCTTATAAACCCAACAAAGAAAAGAACTGTGGAAATAGGTACTTGTGTATAGTTTACGACATTTATTAAGAGAAACATTTCGCCACGAGTGGTTTCATCTGTCCTGATGGAGTCACTTGTGGCGAAACGTTTCTTTTAATAAGTGTCCTTGTTATACAGAGCAATTCGGGCAACTTGGGTTAATATTGTTCCCAGGATGCGACCCACACCAGTCGGCTAACACCCGGGTACCTACTTACTGCTAGGTGGACAGGGTCAGAAAGTGTAAGGGAACACGCCCAATACTTGCATCTGTATTGATAATCGAACTACAGACACTCAGTATGTGAGCTGAATGCGCTACCAACCATTATTGTCCTCAGTCTCGTATCTTACAGACATAAAGATTCTCCAACATCCTTTGAAGACGATACTAGAATTTATTTAAAAGTGTTACAGAGAACATAACAAAACTACAGGTTCAGTGTACACCGAGTCTTCCAGTAGGAAGCGGAACACAAACTTATTTTCGACAATAACAGATTTCAACTATTCCTCCGTGTTTATCATTCATTACCTTTGAAACTTGTCATGATTGTGACCAGCTCTACCTGGAGCTCATTACCTTTGTAAATTCTCATGTTTAATGTGTTTATGATTCATTACCTTTGCAATTATTCATGAGTGTGACCAGCTCAACCTGGAGCTCATTACCTTTGTAACTTGGTCATGATTGTGACCAGATCTAGTTCATTACCTTTGTAACTTGCTCAGCTATCAAAACTTTGGAGTCCAGTCCCTGGACCAATTATGTACCTCTGTAATCTTTTGACTACCGCCCACAGGATGGGTATGGGGTGCATAATAAACATATTAAACTAACTAACTAACCTCCGTAGAAAAAACTGAAGATTTAGAAGTTTTAAGCAGGGCAGACCCCTTGATGGACCAGGTTTATTAAGAGAACTGTTATTATCATAGTGTCGGGGAAGCGTTACATCCGTATGGGCCATACAAGGGAGAGGAGTACAAGGGAGAGGAGTACAAAGAAGAGGAGTACAAAGAAGAGGAGTACAAAGAAGAGGAGTACAAAGAAGAGGAGTACAAAGGAGAGGAGTACTCATTGAAATTACTCCCAATGAGAGCATGAGGCATACGAAGAAGTGCGAAATACCGTCAAATTAAAAGCATATCTTACAAACTGTCTTTAAAAATCGTGGCTAAAGCGAGTGACATTAAATTGTGAAGGTGAGGTTTTTGCGATGTTTTCTCTCACCTAATGAGTTTGGAGATGTTATAATTAGTGTTTGATGTGGGTAAAAGCATTTCATTTCCAAAAATGGAAACGTTCCCACCTTTCACGGAACGGCTGGGGTTTGAACTTATGGCAAGTGAGTCAAAACTGACAGGCCAGTGCGTTAACCATTTCGGCCAGCTGCCTCTAATAAGATTAATACAACTATTCTCGAAGCTTTCACTGGGGTAACGAGATGTCAGATGCGCAGTTTTAGCTTATATACGACACAGTCGTCACTCGGCCAAACTATCAGACATTTGTGAGCTCATATAGAGTCGTTGATGCTGAAGTCATCACTCGAACGACCCACCAATCGGGATAAAACTGAACCTGGCTTTCCCAGTTGCATTTTGAATCTTTATTGTTGTAGGAGATGCCTGTAATTCAAGTTTCAAAATTTGTAGACGCTTGAAACTAAACAATTGAACGGGGTAGGGCTTGAACTCTCGGCAAGTGAGTCTTAAAATTCACAGGCCAGTGCGTTTACCGGCAACCCGGTGGACCTCGCTACTGTATGTTTGCAGCCAGGCACCGCCGGAAATAGAAGCCTCAGGAGCCCAACAACGTTAACCCAAGTGGCCAACGCCTTGCCAAGGCCCAGTCGGACCCTAGTGTACATTACTGGGCACGTTAGGTATTGGTCTGTTTCCTCTGGTTCTTGGCTACTGCCTCACTAACCTCTTCCACTGGTACTGCGCTAGAAATAACTCTACTTTCTATCCAACTGAGAAGCCAAATTTGGATAAATAAACGATGTGGAAAAAGACGCTTTTCAAACGTTTCACCACGAGTGCCTTATTTACTCCTGAACTATACATAAGTGTCCTTTTTCCACATCTTGTTGGTATCACCATAACATTTCTCAAACCATGTTTGTGATTCAAATATATATCAACATTACTTTCATGGAGGGGAGAGGTAAATCTTATCTTATCTTTTTCCACAAGGGACGTACAGTACCTGGGGAAACGAGAGACAACCAGCTTCGATGCAAGGAAGCCGAGGATAAATCCAATTCCTTGGACCAAGAGTCCTCCAGCGTCTTTGTATCTTAGTAACTCCATACGAATTTTTTCCCTCTTAAGAGCCTAATAAAATTGACGTATAACTCTGAAGATTGAGACACTTATGCAGCATATGGGAATCTTTATTCAGGAAACGTTTCGCCACACAGTGGCTTCATCAGTCCAATACAAAGAGGAAGGCGTAAGGAGAGGAGGAGTATGAGGTAATCAGTCCCTCAACCTGGAGTCGATGTGTTCAGTCCATCAATCTTGTAGAATGTACAGCATAGGGCCATAGACGTGGCTTATATACTATAGTGAGGTGAGGTGAAGCAGGAGGAGGCGGGGTCATAGTGGTACCATCCACTAGTCGAAGTAGGTCTTCGACCTAGTGGATGGTACCACTATGAAGACCTACTTCGACTAGTGGATGGTACCACTATGACCCCGCCTCCTCCTGCTTCACCTCACCTCACTATAGTATATAAGCCACGTCTATGGCCCTATGCTGTACATTCTACAAGAGTGATGGACTGAACACATCGACTCCAGGTTGAGGGACTGATTACCTCATACTCCTCCTCTCCTTACGCCTTCCTCTTTGTATTGGACTGATGAAGCCACTGTGTGGCGAAACGTTTCCTGAATAAAGATTCCCATATGCTGCATAAGTGTCTCAATCTTCAACTCGTCGGTTTTTCAAACCATTCATCACACGTATAACTCTATTCAGCACCGTAATTATAAAGTCATAATTTTTTTAACCTCCCTAAAAGTTTAGGACGTGATTGTAAAGGCGTGATTGATAGAGAAATATAATGGACTGGAGAGTAATATATCTTGAAAGGAGTTTTTGTTAGGTTGGGTTTAACAGGAAGCTTGGTGGACTGACCTACACTGTCGGGAGACAGTGTAGGTCAGTCCACTCACCATCACTATTACTGCGCCATCATACCACCAAAATTACACCATCACCACCATCATACCATCAAAATTACACCATCACCACCAATATTATACTATCACACACCACCACCAACACACATCACCATCACACCACAAACACACACCCCCACCAC